TGGGAGGGCGGAGGGTCCTGGGTCGGGCACGGCTCCAGGCACTTCCCCTTCAGCACAACCTTCTTTCCCGGCCTGGCTGAGGGGTGGCAGGGTCACTCCTGATTTAGGCCGGGGCAGAGGATGTGAGCTCAGCGGGCCACCCCCAGCCCGCTCCATTTCCTCTGGCCAGAGGAGACAGCGCGGGAGAGGGAGTGGGGGAAGGAGGGAGTGAGCGCGTCCAGAACAGTCCTAGGTAATTCTGACGAGCAGCCAAGTGTGGGAGCACAGGCAGAGGGCACGGCTGGCCTCTGATCGGCCGCACAGTGGCTGTGTGACCTTGGGCTCTCTGGGTGTCAGTTGCCTTATCTGTAAGTGGATGTAGAGGCAGGGAGTTAAGGGGATCACAACAGTTCATGAACTGTAGGGTCTGCGAAATGTCACCTTGTGATTGCCTTTTTTATTTTTTTACCAGCTTCCCCGTCTTCTCAGAGGCCTGGGAGGGAGGCGCAGTGCCAGGGCCTCACGAGGTGTCCGTCCCAGGACCCTGTCACCCTGCCTGCGCCCACTCTGTGCTCAAGTCCCTTCGGGGGCTCGGGGAAGGGACTGCTTCCCCCACAGACATTCCCCCCGGGGCACAGGGAACCTTCCTGGAGCCCAGGAGCCCAGCTGTGAGGCTCCCACCGGCCGCCAGACCCCACCCACCTGTCCTCCTTTGGACCTCACTTCGAGGCCCCAGGCTATGAGGCCAATAGCAGCTCAAACAAGGCCCTACTGGGCAGGTTGCCAAAAACAACACAGAGGTGAGGGGAGAAGGGTGCTCGGCTCCCACTCTTGGGGCTCCAGGGACCTCTTTAGCACCTTCTCCCCACTGTGCTCACCCTGCACCCACTTCCTCAGGGCACAGACACCCCCACAGCTTCATCTCCCTATACCTTGGGTCTCCTGCCCTGGCGGGAGCCTTAAGAGCCCTCCTTCTGGCACCCACGCTAGCGGGTGTGGGTGGGGATAACTAGGTGTTTTCATTCGCCAAAGTGGATCTTGGGGCTAGAGGCCCAGCACTCTGGGGGGACCCTCTCGCCTCCAGCCCCAGTGTGGTGGCAGCAGCCACTTCCTGCCCCTGCTGGGACAGGGACTCCAGGGGACAAGTCTAGCGTCCTCCTGGGAAGGCCCGGAGAGCTCGCCTTGAAGTCTAATCTCCTTGGGGTCTCACAGCAGAGGTTCCCAGGAGATGGGGTGCAGCCGTGCACGAAGCCCCCACAACCCTGTCAAGACTAGTGGCCCCAGGCTATGGAGAAACCTCCAGCAGATTAGCTGAGCCACACGCCACCAGGGGACACAGGCAGATAAGCCAGGGGCTTTAGCAAGTGGTTAGGTAGTGTTGGACTTTGTTTTAGGCAGTAGAACTCCCTTTGTAAAGCTGTTTTATGGATATGCCCATTAAACTAAGACATAAATGCAGAGATGATCTGGTTGAAGCGGTGTGGGTGGGGGTGGAGCTCTATCTGTTCAGTCTTTCCCAACCCATTATCGGAAACCCCGTGGCTCCAGAGAACAATCTGGAAAGCCACCTGCTGGAAGAAAACCCCAGGAGGGCAGGAATTCCGGTTTGTTTCATTCACGGCCGGACCCAGCGCTGGAGAACACAGCCTGGCTGGCACACAATAGGCACTCAAAAACCAGCTGAATGAGCCCTGGCTGGTTTGGCTCAGAGGTTCGGTTCCTGGTCAAGGGCACGTTCCCCAGCAGGGGTGAGTGGGGAGGCAACCAATCGATGTGTCTCTCTCATGTAGATGTTTCTCTCTCCCCCTCTCCTCCCTCCCTTCCACTCTCTCTAGAAAGCAATGGAAAAAATATCCTCGGGTGAGGAATTAAAAAAATAATATTAATTTGAATGAATGCATTTCAACCTTTTACTTTACAGGTGAGGGAACTGAGCACCAGAGAGGTTAAGTTATTTGCCTGAGACACACAGCAAGGGGGACCCAACTTCCTCTCTGGATCTCACACACAGAGGCACTCCCTTATAGAACAAGACAGTTCTCCCCCAACCACCGACCCCCGTGACACCCCTTCCCCCCGCTCCCCCCTTCTTTCTCTGCAACCTGAGCACTCAGAGGAGGGTCTCAGATGGACAGTCGCCCCATCAAGTACTCACTGGTCTTTGCAGCCTTGACTTTAGCCACCAGTTTCTGCACACCAGTCACATCTCCGTTCTTGACGGCAAGGATCAGGTCCTGTTCACGACCCATCCTGGTCCCCAGGCTGGGCTCTGGGCTCAGGAAGTCCAGGGGAGAGGCCCGAAAACTGGTGTGAGCCAAGGCGTCAGGCTGCCATGCCTTGGCCCGCTGGAGGGCCAGGCGTCCTGGGGGAGCGTGGCTGGTGTCTCAGGCGGTGGGTTTCTTGTCAGGCACTGACAGGTATTCCAACAAGGTGCTTGGTGAGCTGCCGCCACAAGCTGGAAAGCCGATCTCCGAGGGGGCGGAGGCTGCTCGGAAATCTGGACAGATATCAGCTTGCAGCTTCCGACAGCCCAGGATGGGCTGGGACTGGGCGCGCCAATCTTCCCAGCGTGGCTCAGGAGCACCAGTGCCCACCCAGAAAGCCGCCAGCATTCCCTCGGGCCTCGGGCAGCAGTGGGGACAGGTCTCGGGGTCTGGAAGAGGGGCGGTGCTTTTGCTGAGGGCTAGGCCCGAACCTGCAAGGGTCCCAGAAGCAGGGCTCTGAGGAAGAGCAGTTCAGGGCCTCCAGGGAGCCCCCCAACCACGCCGGCGGCCCTAGGGGCCCAGGGAGGGGCTAGCCACTCAAAGCGGGAAGGGAGCTGCCATGCATGAGAGGAATATCTGGAGGGGGGAGAGGTGGCATTCTGTGAGGGGGGCTGAGTCACTGCGGCCCCAGGGCACCTGGCAGCATCTCAACCTGGGCAGCAGCCTGTTCTCCACAGCCCCAGGGGCTGACACCCACGGACAGCTGCGTGCCAGGAGGTGGGGCCTGGGAGGGTCAGGCCCAGGCAGACAGGAGGGTCACTCCCTGCCGAAGGTGCCAGCCCCCGGACGCCTCCCTCCCTCCCCTTTACTAGAATCGCTGGAGGCCCTGGCTGCAGGGCTCTTTATGAATTCAGAGTGGAGTGGGGAGCTTATGGGCCCCCCATTTCTGGCGGGGGGCTGCTTCTCCGGCAGGGAGATTTCACAGCACCTGTTGCTGACCTGTCCTCACACCTTGTGCGCGTTGGAGAAGCAGCTGGGCAAAGAACAGAGACCAGAGCTGGGGCACTGCTGGCACACGGGGCTGCCTGGCCCCCCAAGCCTGAACCTGAGGCCCAGAGCCCCAACTTCACTGCAGAAAAGCTTACGTCAGTTTCTCAGTGGCCACGAATTTGCTGCCCGAGCCCTGCGGCATGACACCGGCATGATACCCGGGCAGGCCTGGGGCTCTGGCTGGGAACCCCTCGGTCCCAAAACGTCCCAAGCCCCAACCAGATGGCACTCCCTCTGATGGCACTCCCTCTGATGGCCCGCGGCCGACATGGGGGGAGGGCGCCCCTGGCAGTGCCTGGGGTCGGGCAGGCTCCCCCGCCCCCCGGAATGCCCGCCCAGCGCCGCGCAAACCCCCAACCCCAACCCAGCCCAGGCCGACCTGGGGAACAAAGCGGCGGGAGGGACGGATTGGGACCAGCGCTGGAGCGATTGATGCGGGAGGACGAAATAAGGAGGCGCGAAGAAGGACGGAAGGAGCAAAGAGACGGAGGCACCCGCTGATCCCGCAGGAAAAGTTAGTTTGTGCCCGCCCCTCCAGGGTACTGCCCCCCCGGCTCGGGCCACGCAGTCTCACCTTTCCCGGCCGCCCCGCCGGGGGTCCGCCTGGCCCCGCGCGGTCCCGGGCACTCTGGACGGTGGCTCCCACGGCCCCCCTTAGCCCCTTTCTCCTCCTCCTTTTCCAAGGCCGGCTCGGCGCCTCCCGCAGGAAATCCCGCCCCTCCCCCGTCCCTCCCGCCGGATCGGGAGCGGAGGGACCGTCCCGGCCGCGCAATCGGGCTGTCAGTCAGCGCCTGCGGCCCCGCCCCTATCCGCGCCAGGCCCCACCCCCATCGCTCTTCTGCGGAGCGGAGAAGCTGGCGGGTCAGCGCATGCGCCCAGGTGCAGCGGAGGCTGTTATGGGGGCAGAGCTCGCGTCCCTGAGTTCCAGTTGCGGAGCCGGGGCGACCTGGGGCTCGAGTTTAGGCCGAAAGGTGTGTGACTGGGTGGGACAGTGGACGTGATGTGGAGTCTGGAAACCGGGGACCCCGCTTGGGGAGCCCCCTGGGGAAGCCACCCTTGCTCTTAGCCCCTCGCCCTTCCCGGGACTCCCGCAGTGACCTCAACCCGCCTTCGGAGTCGTCGATCCACGGGCTGATCGGAGCAATGGTGCCACCTAGCGGACGGTATTGGAGCGGCCCACGGTGGCGGCGGGGTGGACCCCAGCCTCGAGGAGGTGCTAATGACAGACTGGGGTGGCGCTTCAGCACCATCGCGGGCCGGACAGCGCCTCCCGCCCCCTGGGCTCTCGAAACCCGGCTTCCAAGCCCCTCAGAAGGGACCTAACGGAAGACCCCGAAGGACACCCGAGCTCCCCCAGCCCGCACCTAACAGCCCCCGGCGGCCTTCAGTTTGCGAAGCCGGAATTGGGGAACCCACCGCTCTCCCTTCTCTAAACCCCCCCTTTTCCCGTCCTTGTCCCGCCAGATGGTGGGGACTAAAGCAGCCCCGGACTGCGGAGAGGAGAGTCACGCCTTTGACTCTTCCTACTGCACTTTCAGACGCCACGTTCCTCACGTCTTACTAGAGAGAAGCCCAGGGAAGGGCTAGAGACGGCCGAGGGAAGCCCCTACACATCCAGAAACCTGCCGCGCTCTGCCCCGGAGTCGAGGCACAAGTTTACGCGGGGAGCCGGGATAGCAGGGAAGGCGGGGAGCCGCGGGTGGAACAGGAGACCCGAGGCGCGGAGGTGCGACCGGCCGGCGCTAGGGCCGCGCGGAGCCTGGGCGGTGGGCGGAGCCTGGGCGGGGCGCGCGCAGGCGCAGGCGGCGGCCCGATGGAGCCCGATCCAGAACCCACAACTATTGAGGTTCCTGCGGGGCCCGTGCTCAGGTGCGGCGAGGCCCGGCCTGGGGGACTCGCGGGACCGTGGGGTGCGCGCGGGGCAGGGGACGGGGGTTCCGGGCGGGAGCGGGGGTTCCGGGCGGGAGCGGGGGTCCCCGACGCGCGACTCTGACCCGCGTCCCTCTCGCCCCAGTGCCCGGGAACTCCTGGCCGCCCGCGCGCGGCCCCAGAAGCTGCCCCAGCGCTTCCTCCCCGACGGCTCGGCGGCCCAGGCCGAGCGGCTGCGCCTGTGCCGCGCGGAGCTCTGGCAGTTGCTGGCGGAGGAGCGCGTGGAGCGCCTGTGAGCGGAGCGGGGCGGGCCGGGGGCGGGGCAGGTGCGCGGGGGCCGGACGGGCCGGGTGGACTCCCCGGTAGACTGAGCCCCACCCTTTGCCAGGGGCAGTTTGGTGGCCGCCGAATGGAGACCGGAAGAGGGGTTCGTGGAGTTGAAGACGCCTGCGGTGAGCGGCGGTGTTCAGGGGCGGGGAACTGCCTCCCCTCCCTTCCCTTCCCTTCCCCTCCCCTCCCCTGCCCTCCCCGTGGTGACATGCGCTGTGGGTTCCGCACAGGGCAAATTCTGGCAGACCATGGGCTTCTCGGAGCAGGGCCGGCAGCGGCTGCACCCCGAGGAGGCGTTGTACTTGCTGGAGTGTGTGAGTGGGGCCCCAGGACGGTGGGGAAGGGGGTTGGGACCGAGGAACCGGAAGGGCATGTGTTTTGCTTTTTGGAGAAAAAGTACACACGACTGAGAATTCAGGGAGCTTGTAACCTGACTTCTAGAGCAGAAGACCGTGCAGGAAGCAGGGATTCCGTGCATGTTAGTGTTGCTGCTGCTCCCCACTTCCTGGTTGACAATGTTCTCGCTGTGATGCGGGGGGGGGGGGGGGGGGGGGCGGAGCTGCACAGATATTAGAGTCAGGATGTTGCTCCATTGGCTGTGCCACTGCAGGGAGGGCTTACAAGTTGAGCTGTTGGCCCCACTTCCAGGGCTCCATCCAACTCTTCCATGAAGACCTGCCCTTGTCTATCCAGGAGGCCTACCAGCTGCTGCTGACTGAGGGCACCGTGACTTTCCTGCAGTATCAGGTATCCGCCACCCATCCACGGAGTTAGTATTTACAAGTACCTACGAGGTGCTAGCCACAGAGCCATGTGCTGGGGCTGTGAGACAGGCGAGGGCGCCGCTGCCATGGTGCTGACACCCTAGGGGTGGCCATGAATAATCGGCATCAAAAGGAAGATGAATGTCACAGAACTGAGTGCTAGGAAGAGGACAAAGTGGGGAGACACATAAGTGTGGACATCATGAGCACATGGACGGTACTTATACTTTTTTAAAAAATTGATTTCAAAGAGGAAGGGAGAGGGAGAGAGAGATAGAAGCATCAGTAATGAGAGAGAATCATTGATCAGCTGCCTCCTCCATGTCTCCTACTGGGGATAGAGCCTGCAAAGTGGGAGGGGCGGGGGGTGGAATCGAAACCTGATCGCATGGTTCAACCACTGAGCCATGCCAGCTGGGCAGCACATGGAGGGTATTTAAAACCAGGGGGCTGTATGAGTGTGTGGCCAGAGTGGAGGGCTGCATCTGAGACCCAGGGTGCTCCAACGTGAGGAGGTCGGGGGTAAGATGAGAGACCAGGAACAGAGACTGAAGGGTGTCTAGCAACGCAGGAGAAAAACCAGCAGGGGTGGCATCACAGAAGCCAAGAGAGGTCTTTTAAGAAAGAAGTTGTCAATTATGTTGAAGACTGCTGAGAGATCGAGCAAGATGGGGAAGAGTCCTGCATACAGCTCTCTGATGTGGATATGGGGACAGGAGGATGAGCATGTCTGGAGAGAGGAGTGGGGTGTGCCCCACCTTCTGCCATCTTCTTGTCCACATTGTAGTCAGGAGCTTCACTCGGTCAGCTTTAGTATCAAAACATTTTAGAGCATAGTTCTTTGCCTGGCCCATCAGCTATCAGCTTTTTGAGATTTGCATTTAAGTCACGAAACTGCTATGTGTAATTTGTGCCAAGTAAGGTAAGCAAGAGACAGGAATTCATTCGTATTGAGACCTTAGCTTGGGGAGGGTGTTTATAATAGAGTGTGGTCCAACCACTTCCCAGGTTTGGAATGGGGGCCAGGGGGGATGGCTTCTGTCTGGAGAAACTAGGTGGTATTTTATAAAGGACACAGAACCTTTACTTTTTTTTCCTTTCGAGGTCTTCAGCCACCTGAAGAGACTGGGCTATGTGGTTCGACGGTTCCAACCAAGGTAGGTCCCTGTTCCATTTCCCTCCGGTTTGTTCTGGTCCTGGGGCCTGGGTGACTAGCCCCAAAGTAGAAAGTGGCCTCTGCTTACCTGGAGTCCTTGGCTGGAGCTGCAGCTCTTGGACATGGGCTGGGCCCTCTGCTGGAGATGCTTATTGAGGGGCATGTTGGGATAATCAAGGTCATTGCAGCTTATCCTGGGTTATCACACTGAACCCCATCTTCAGCCTGTTCACTCCACAGATGATTGAGCACCTACCGTTCACTGTGAGCATGGAGATGGTTACCAGAACAGAGCCTGGCACTTAGTAGGTGTGCAAGCAGATTTGTTGAGTGCAGGCATGAGTGCAGGACCAAGTGAGGATGAGCAGTTGAGTAGAGTTTAACATTCCTGTTGCTAGATTAGATGCTCCTTCCTTCTGGGGCCTCTGAAGGTCATCACCTTAGTAATCCAGCATTGCCGAGAGCCACAGAGGCCTTCAGACCTAGAGTGGAAATTGGTACAGCCTTTGCGGTTTCCCAGCAGGTCACGAAAGCTCTAGAACAGAGCTTTAATTTCTGGAATTGGAATATATCCTAAGATCACCTGTGAGAATGCGCACTCATCCATTCCGTCAACAATATTTGTTGACTACTTACTGGGTGCCAGCTCTTGTGCTCGTTGCTGAGGAATAGCAGAGAGCAAAATCACTGCCCCGCATCACTTGCGTTTAGTGGGGACCTTACCCAAAACACCACCGCTTTGCAAAATCAGTGAACTTGGAAACATCCTGTGAGTGCAACACAGAGGGCCTGGTCACACCGATTAGTGTATCCCTTAGACCAGCACTGCCCACTAGAACTTTCTGTGGTGATGAAAGCGTTCTGCTTATACTGTCCAGTATATGTGGCTTGTGCAACTGAATTTTTAATTTTATTTAACTTTAATGGATTTAAGTTTAACTTAGTTATTTATGTCTAGTAGTTACCATATTGGACAGTGCAGTCTTTGAGCCATAAAAAAATGGCAGGGAAGAATGCTGTAGGGATAAGGAACCATGTCCATATTATTATTGACTGAAACAAAAGATAACAGAGCAGTATCTCATTTTGGTTAGAAAAAAACAAATATGGAGAGGTATGGTGTTTATAAGAAACAACAATGGTACAGTGGTATCCACGGGTTTGATTTCCATTTTTATTTTCTGTATTTTTCTCGCGTCCTTGTTTTTCTCACCGGTGATTAATCACTTATTGCTGGCTCTGCAGGAGCCCTGGTTCCAGGGAGCCCCTGTTCAAAGGTGCCATTGGTGAGACCCAGAGGCCTGGGCAGGCCCCTCTGGCCACCCCTGTGTACCCTGTGGGCAGATCTGCCTGGGGCTTAGCCCTTGGATGTGGCTCTGACCCTGGCCCACTGACTTGTGTGCTGGGCCAGCCCCTTTCAAACTCCACGGGGAGCACCAGGCTGAGAAGGTGGATCTGTTGCTTGCCTCATTCTCACCCCACAGCTCCATCCTGTCCCCTTATGAGAGGCAGCTGAACTTGGACAGCAGTGACCAGCGCTTGGAGGATGGGATTGGCAAGAGGAAGAGGAGGAGCTCCAGCTCTCGGTAATGCTCCCCACACGGCCACCACCCAGGAAGCTCTGCGGGGCCGAGCTGTTGAGAGAGTGCTGGTGTTTGGGACCTTGGAGAATGCATGGGTGGGTTTAGGAGCTGGGCTTGGGCAGCTCCTGTGTAGGCTCCGGGAGGCAGTGGGGCACGCGTGGGACGTGTGCACCTCAGCAACCAGGAGCAGATGTGCTGCGTTTCCTCCCCTCATCCCTCAGGTCCATCAATAAGAAGCCCAAGATCCCGGAGAACCCCCTACAGGGAGTGGATGGGACACCCGAGAGCCTGGGAACCTCTGTCCCACCTTCTCACAACCAGAACAGCCGATGCCCCAAGGAGAAACCCCAGGAGTCAAGCCCTGGCCTGGCCAGGGAGGTGGTGGGATGCAGCCAGGAAAGTGGCAAAGTGGAGAATGGGGTCAAGGGGACTCGGAAGCCACGCTGGAACTTTGAGCAGATCTCCTTCCCCAACATGGCCGCAGATAGTCGCCACACCCTCCTGCTTGCCCCAGCCCCAGAGCTGCTCCCGGCCAATGTTGCAGGGCGAGAGACAGATGCTGAGTCCTGGTGCCTGAAGTTGAACCAGCGGAAGGAGAAGCTCTCCAGACGCGAGCGGGAGCAACAGGCAGAAGCCCAGCACTTGCGGGAGGATGTGAACGCGGATCCCGAGGTGCAGCGCTGCTCCAGCTGGCAGGAGTACAAACAGCTGCTGCAGAGACGGCGCCTGCAGACCACCCAGAGCCGCCCCCAACACCTGTGGGACCAGCCTGTCACCCCCTTGCTGAGTCCCAGCCAGGCAGACTCCCCAGGTACTGCCTCACCCTGCCTTTAGCCCCAGAGGCCACTGGCAGCTAAGAAATCACCAGACTTTGAACAGGCATGGATTGAACACGACTGACTGAGGCTTAAGAAAGATGAGGGAGGAGAGAGCTGTTCCGTGAAGTGGAACCCTCAGGGACAGCCTGTTCTGGAAAGCAGCAAAAGGACCCGTGTGGGAAGGTTCAGAGGTGGTGAATCAGTGCCGGAGGAGAAAAATGAAAACACGACCATGTCCTTAACGTCATATGCAAGATGCATGTGGATGGCTCTGCCACCAAGTCGCTGCTTAGGGGGGTTGGAGGGGCTTGGACTGCCTACTCTCAGGGACCATCTCAGCTGCCTCCTACTCCCTGTAGCTGCAGGGGCTAGTCTGGGCCTTGGCCCTGGGTATCTGATGCTTGCAGAAGAGCCACGCTGAGCCCCCTACCTGGCTGCTGCAGCGCTTCCAAGCCCTGGGACGACCTCTGCTGCCTTGCAGTGATGTCCTTGGAGCTCAGCACTGGATTCTAGTTCCCTCCGCTGTTAGAGGGAACAAGGAGGTGATACGATGGTCAAATAAGAGGAAGTTCACTGTATGCCCTGCAGTGTTAGGAATGGAACTAACAGGGCAGTGATTTTCAGCCCGTGTGCCGCAAAAATTTTACTTTATTTTAGAGAGAGGAAGAAACATCAATTTGTTTCACTTATTTATGCATTCACTGGTTGATTCTTTTATGTGCCCTGACCAGGGATTGAACCTGAAACCTTGTTGTATTGGGTTGATGCTCTAACCAACTGAGCTACCTCGCCCGTGCAAACATTTTTTAAACATGCAATATCTGACTAGTCATGGGCACTGACCTCTCTTCCCTTAGATTGTCAAATAAAAAATGACAACAGCCTACAGAACAATAGCCATCTGGTATGAATGAATCAAAATTATACCTTTTTTTGCCAGCTAAGCAAAAGAATGTATTTTTTGGTGTGCGGCAGAATTTTAGTAGTTAGTTTGTGTGTGCCATGAGTTGGAAACGGTTGAAAAATCACTGTAATAGGGCAAGAACAGTATTAACGGATTCAGAGCTACTTACAACCCCTAGGGGAACATGGTAGATTACATGTAACTAGATTAGGGTCACACGATCAGTTATATTTCAGATAAACAACATGGGACATACCTATACTTTAAGAAATCTGCTAAATCTGGGAACCTTAAACTAGATGGCAGATTGAGAAATGTCAGGGGAGTCTGTAGATGACTGCGCTCCCCAACAACTTATGCTCCCTGTCCTTACAGCCACAGTCCTCCAACATATCTCTGTGCTGCAGACGACACACCTTGCTGATGGAGGTGCCCGGTGAGTTTCCGGGTAGCGCCTGTCTCCACAGAACTTTGGCTGCCAGCGGGAGGTGGCAGCTGGGATTTAACTCCTAAAGTTGGGTATGAGCTGGGGGATCATTCCATGGACCCTCAACCTGGCTAATATCCTTGTGTCTAGGGGAGCGGGAGGAGTGAGAGACAAGAGGTGGCTTTACCCCTAGGGTTCTGAGATAGGCAGTTGAGCCTCCCCCTGCCCCTCAAGTGGCACCTCACAGCAGGACCCCAGTTCCCCTGGACAGGATGCTTCCGGGAACTGGTGGTGGAACTGGTGGTGTGGAAAGAAAAGGAGGAGCAGGAGAGTCCCTAAAGTTTCTCACTCTGTTCTCAGGCTGCTGGAGAAGCCTGGGGGCTTGGAGATCAGCTTTGATGTTTACCAGGCTGACGCTGTGGCCACGTTCCGAAAGAATAACCCTGGCAAGCCCTACGCCCGGATGTGCATCAGTGGGTATGAGACCAGCAAGCACTGTTCCCTGGCTGCTGCTAGTTCTATAAACCCTGAGTGGACCTCTTCAGCCCCTGACCAGTTTGCCAGTCCCTGAAAGGTCCAGAGAGATTATGTAACTGAAGTGAGGCCACACGGCCTGTTTGTGCTGTGGGAACCCAAGATTCCCAGTCCGCAGCCCTCATTCCTGGCATTTTTAGATAGTCTCTCCTCTGCCATGTCGTTCCTGAGCTTGCTCAGTGAGAACCTCTCTCCCCAGCCCCCTCACCCAACCAGGACTCTGGGTTTCTCTTGACCTTAGCCATGCAGTTTGCAGAGAGGAGAGCCCAGGGCCCAGACTTCCTGCTCCCCTCTGGCTCCCAGAGGGCGGGGGTCTCAAAGCCTGTGGGTAGGCTATATCCAGGTCTCAGTCTAACTTTTATCCCTGCAGATTTGATGAGCCAGTCCCAGACCTCTGCACTCTCAAGCGGCTGTCCTACCAGAGCGGGGATGTTCCTCTGATATTTGCCCTGGTGGATCATGGAGACCTCTCCTTCTACAGCTTCAGGGACTTCACACTGCCCAGGGATCTGGGACACTGACCAGCTCTGGCAGGGCCTGGGGCCTGCTTAGGGGGTTGGAGGGGCTTGGACTGCCTATTCTCAGGGACCATCTCAGCTGCCTCCTACACCCTGTAGCTGCAGGGGCTAGTCTGGGCCTTGGCCCTGGGTATCTGACGCTTGCAGAAGAGCCACGCTGAGCCCCCTATCTGGCTGCTGCAGCGCTTCCAAGCCCCAGGACGACCTCTGCTGCCTTGCAGTGATGTCCTTGGAGCTCAGCACTGGACTCTAGAGACCCAGCGCCGTGGGGCAGAAGAGAGGACTCTGTGCCTTGAAACGAGAGGGTGCCTGCTTCATGCGATAAAGCCAAAAGCCATAGCCATTAAAAAAATAGATCCTTTTTCTTCTGTGGCTCCATATACTGCACAAGTTCTCCAGCCCCGGGATGGGTGCGCGGACCCCACCCCCATCCCGTTGTCCTTCAACTGGACTCCCGGTCCGGGCCTCCGCTTTGCCCACCCACCGAGAGTGCTTTTCTGTTGTGGGAGCTAAGAGAAGGCCGCGACCCCGCACCTGCAGGGATGAGAAGTCATGGACCTCCCGTCCACTTCTCTCTGCAAAGTAGTCCAGGGAGGGAAGCGGCACTCCACCGGCCTCTCCATGAACGCAGCCGGTCTGCGTGGAAGGCTGGCCGAGAGGCGCCAGGTCGGTGTGGTTCGAACCCTAGTCACTCGGAGTTGTGCGGTGGCGCCCGCCATACACGCCTCGGGCCCGGCCCCCGCGCCCCTTCCGCTCCCGCCTCTCGTTGCTCCAACCCCCTTGTCGGGCTAAAAACTCCCGTCCCTGTTGCGGTCCCTCGGGGCCTCGGGCGCCGGCCAAAGCAGGGCCTCGGAGGCGGGGAGTCCAGGCTCGGAGCCCGCCCCGAGGGGAGGCGCTTCGCGGCGACGCCCCCGTCCTCACGCCACCTCGCTCTTGGGCCCCGAAACCTGGCCCCGTAACCGTGGGTCACCCTCTCGGCTTGGGCAGGGCGCGCTCAGCAGTAGCCGGCCGGCTACGCCCCTCCCTCAGCGCCCGGGATGGGGTGGGGGGGACGGCTCCCCGCAGTCCGGCCGGCGGGGTGGCCCTGGCCGCCGCGCGTTCCGGGAACTATTTCTTCCCGGGGAGGCGGCGGGACACAGGGCGCGGCCAACCTGCGACCAGGTGCGCGCAGGTGAGGCCCGGGGCGGGGCAGCGGCGCCTCGTGCATATTCACGCGGATGAGGCCCCGCCTTCGCCCCGTCCGGGGCCGCGGATTGGCCCGAGCGCGGTCCCCGCCCCCGGAGACCTTTCACACCAGCAAGATTGCCCTCATCCCTACTCTGTCTCAGAGGCCCGAGGGGCCAACTTTTTCAGATGATGAGAGGTATGCGTGTTGCTCCTCATCCCATCACACTGGGAGTGCCCAGAAGGCAAGGGTCTGGGTCAGGGCCCAGCCAACACTCAGGAGCCTGGCCTAGAGTGGGCCATGCCAATACATAGTATTTGTT